TTGTTTAAAGAAAATACAGCCCACCATTTATGCACCCTCGTGTTCTAAATTTAATTTACTTTTATCACAGTCATACATATACTTTAGTTTCTATGACCAAAAAGTACAATAAAGTTTATAATTAAAGAAACAAATCAAGTAAAAATGTAACCAAAAACAGGCCCTGGCCCTTCCCCAACCTCTATTCCTGTTTCCTAGCCACAGTAACGTGCAACTCAGTACTTTCTTAGGGAAGTCATGTGACCTGTGATGGTCCACATTTATCTGAGTAAGCTGTAGCCTTCTCTTTAGCACACACTTTATGTGGCATTTGCTGCTAATGTTAGAATTGTTATATTCCATCCATGCAAGAATACATTGCTGTGTGTATGTAAACAGAGATCATCTTTTCTTGATGACTGAAAAGGTTTAACCCCTCCTCAAAGTACATTATCTTATTTGAAGTGCATTAGGCTACACACCCATCTCCTGGGGGTATATCCCAGGCTTTCTATCTGAGCTGGAAAGCCTGTCTGCTCTTGGGCCAGAAGATATTTAGTTCTGATTTTTAAAATCACATACCCGCATATTTGGCAAGACCTGATGATAAAATAGATCATGATGGAATGATACTACAGAAGTCTATTTTATTAGCAGCTGTCATTGTGACAAAACAAAAAATCAAAATATTCTTAGAGTTCCTTGGACAGATTTGTATTCTGAAGCTCTAAAGTCAAACTGTCTTATCCCCTCATTGGTGTCAGGGATCCATTTTGTTCTCTCATGTAAGGTACGTGGCATGGAGTGATCACTTAATTTTTGTTGCTTTTCACCATTCATTCAAAGCCCTTGCCATCACTGAGTTTACATCTTAGAGTTTACAGTTAAGTTAAGTAACTATCAATTCACATAGTGACTGATGCCATAAAGAAAATAATGCAGGGTGAGAAAGTGAACATTAGAATGTTCTGGAAGGCCTTTCTTTGTGGAGAGTGGACCGAGGAAGACAGGAGTAGAGGCAATCCATTAGGCGGCTGCCACGGTCATCTCAGAAGGACAAGAGTTTGGACTAGTGTGGTAAGAGGGAAGAGGGCTTAAAAAATGTCTGGATTGAAAATAAAGCTAATAGAACTTGCTGATGGATTGAAAGTAGAACAAGAGCAAAACTGTCAGTGCCAACTCCTAAGCAAACTGAAACAAGGTGAGCACCGGATGCTGAGAGGTCAGCATACTTGGAATGTCGTTGGGAACACATTCTTGATAGTCGTGTGTCTTTCTCATAAGTTTTTGAAAAGAAGCTTTGGTCTTAAGAGAGGGGGATTAATTATGTCACATACCAGTTTTCCAAATTACTCCAGGCCCAGAAACTAGTATCTCTGCTTCTCCCTCCACAATAAGCCATCCAGCTCCACAATGAAGATAAGGATGGTATAGCCTCGGAGGAAATTCACATTGGTTGTCCCTAGACTAAAATTCACTCGTCTTTCAAGTTCTGAATGTCAGCATCAAATGTAGGAACAGCTTTTAGTTTCAGAAATTTCACAGGTCAAAGAACAAGAGTTGAGATTTCAAGGAGTACTTAGGCCCACCCCATCTGCAAACAGAAAACGCACTATCTCTAGTATCTGGAATGACCACATAGCTCCCCTATCTGAAACAAGAACCGCAACACAGGGTGATCTTTAATTAGCACATGTTCATCAGGGGGAACATAGAGCTCATTAAAATATTCAGTTAGAAAACACTTATTCCCACAAGGTTTAAATATATTTTTGAATGAAAAACATTACAAACACATAAATCTAATCTATGAAAATAATTTTACATCAACTGCTTCTTTTGAGAAATTTGAATTCCACTTTCACATTCTCCCCTCCAGTCAACCTCAACCATCAGACTGAATACCTTTAGTGCGATAGAATTTGTGTGTGTTTGGAAAGAATAAACAGGTTCTTCAAAAGTTTGCATCACTATCTCATGATTTTTAGCATATTTCTCTCTTGGCAAAATGAAAGTATCTACCTCTGAATTAAAAGAATTCAATGAGGTGATACATAAAAACCTTTTTGAGCCACACCTTATAGATAGCACACTGATAAACATTAACTTTAATATGTAAAATGTAAATTCAACACTGCCATTCTATCACATTCATCTATTTCTTCAGAGAATTCCCTCCTGTTAGGTGGGGGCCAACTTCCAATCTTTCCTTTGGTTCTCCTCGGGGCAAATGCCCCATTCTCCTGTAGAATTTGTCAAGAGGACTAAAACACAACTCTCTCCATCTTTCCTCATTTCCTGGCTATGCGCTTATTTTTAACTTCAATGGACCTCTGATGTTGTTTACCACATTCTGATCAGGAAATCAAAGCTTCAGGTCTTTTTTCCATTCCCCACAAATCCCGTATCTCCTCTTTATCTTTCTCTTGCTTTTTACACGATCAAGAAAATTAGCTGGCAGTGAGGTCACTTACTTTTCCTTCTTCCAGCCTGATAGGATATTTCAGGCAGGCAGTCCTCAGCTGCAGATAGGAGGAGATCGAGATTGGCATGAGCTGTGAGCCTGCTGGTAGTTCTTAACCTAGAACTGTTACCAGTAGTTCAGCTACAAAGAATCTCACAGTGTGACTTCTGCACACATTTATAGAGCACTATTTCCAAGTTGTAGCCATGGAATGAAATTGTATTTTTTACTTGTATGTACCCTGAGCAAAAACTTATATGCAAAGTGTTTTATTTTTTTAATTTATTTTGCATTTTATTGATTTTTTTATTAAGGTATCATTGATACACACTTATGAAGGTTTCACAAGAGAAACAATGCGGTTACTACATTCACCCTTATGATCAAGTCCCCACCATACCTCATGGCAGTCACTGTCCATCAGCGTAGTAAGATACCAGAGTCCCTACTTGTCTTCTCTGTGCTACACTGTCTTCCCTGTGACTCCCCCACACACCATGTTGTGCAAAGTGTTTTAAAGGTAGAGATATCTCCCCAGTGTGGTGGGAAAATCCTAGGTGTTCCAAACCACTAGAGGCTTCTAGATGGTCCGAGATTTCCTAGGTCTTACTTAGCCCAGATGTCAAGATACAGTTTCTTAAAGCAACTTCCAATTACACCTTACGTACCAACAATCTTCCCAGAACAGCGGTGTGATGGGCAGTCCCAGCCTATGAACCGTGCATGCCTGCTGTCGCCAGAGGCAGCACGCCATACTCACTCTCATCTGCACACTAAATATCCACCTTTCCAGCACCACCACCAGGTCTTCACATCTTAAGACTTAAAAATTTCAAACCATACAAAAGGCTGACTAACGCAGCTGTTTTCTGTCCTGTTTCTTTTCTTTTCTTTTTTGGCTTCTACTATTTCTTAATCTTGGCTGCATACTGTAACCACTCAGGAAGCTTGTAAAAAATACCTAGCTTCCAACCTGAGATTTCATGTTAACTGGTGTGTGTGGGGAGGGCTGGGATGGGTATCAGGATTTTTAGAAACAAATCGTTATCCCTATGCCCCAAAACAGCAGAAGAGCCTGTCTTAACTCCCTTTACCTCAGAATGTCCCTCGTATGTGGATACAGGGTCTTCCGGTTAAAATGAGGCCATATTGTAGGGTGGGCCCCTAGACCTGTATGACCAGTACACCTATTTTTATTTTAAATGAAGACACAGAGCCACAGGAGAATACCACATGAAGGTAAAGGAAAGCCATCAGTAAGCCAGGGAACAGCAGATTGCCAGGAAGCCACCAGGAGCTAGAGTAACATGGAACGGCTTTCAGAAGGAATCAGCCCAGCCGACACCTTCATGCTGCACCACTGCCTTGCTGAACTCTGAAAAAGACATTTTTGTTGCCTATGTCTTATGCTTTGTGGTATATCATTGTGGCTGCCCTGGCAAACGAACCACTGTTTCACCTGAAAACTCTCCGCGCCTTTTAGTTTGGATGCAGGTATCCCTCCCCTCTAGGACTCTGACACCCACCATCACCTACCCAGTCCTGTACGGTACCACACTACTTTCTGCTTCTTCCCTCTCTCCGACTCCGCAGATTTACATGCTAGCGACTGCTTAAAAGCACGTAAGAGGATGAACCACAGAAGTCAGATTCTCACTCTCACAGAACTTCCCGTCTAGTGGGGAAGTCTTCAACTAGATCACAGCTGTGCTTGCTGTAACACGAAGTTATCCCTGGTACAGTGCTACCCAGGGTTCTCTTGGGAAGGATGCCAAAACTTCACTGAGGGGTGATGAGGGTGAAATGGAAAGAATGAACCAGAATTAGCAAGAGGAGATGGTGGGAACTCTGTTAGACGACGTATAGACAGTCTCTGTGGCCAGCAGGGCGCATTAACATCTCTATTCAGAAGGTTAGTAGGCAGTGTCAGAGTATTTTCACAGGCTTCAAATATGATCCTCACACAAACAGAGATGGACATGTGTCAGAGACTTTTATTCAAATCATTAATTAGTATCAGACTCCCTTTGAGAAATCTAATTTTCCTTGTAAGAATGATGTCGAATTCTTGAAAAGATCATTTTAACATAGTCACCTTTTCTGCAATGCTTCTCCTCACCCAGCTAAAATACCCAGGGAAATTAGGTTGGTCTCTGTTTGGAATGATGGATGTTAGCAGGTCTTGACATTGTCAGTAACAGGCTATCTTCCTTTCATACGTCACTATGACAACACCCTCAAATTTAAACTCTTGATTATCCCTAATTCAGTTTCCAGAAATCTCTTGAGTTCTCAACCTAGTCCTAAGGATCCCAGACTGTATCTCTTCAATTTGTTGCTGTAATCTGAAAAAGACCCCTCAGATATTACCACTCGTGACTCCACTCAAATGTAACCTCTTCCACTAAATGGGTGTTGAAAGCCACATGGACGCAAAGGCTCCTGGGTATTGATTGGAGTTCCAACTCAATGCTGGAAAATTTTTTATTGGATTACTTTACATAAATTCTTTTACAAAGCCATGCTCTTCATATCCTGGCCTCTGTGGTTTTAGATATTACCCCAAGGAAGACTGAGGGCCAACAGTAATATTACAGGATGAAACAGGAGGGAGGCGGAGGCTGAGAGAGTCTGAATCTGTGCTTCCACTGGGGATACAAAGAGAGAAGATAGGCCTGAGGGCTCCCTGGAAGGGAAGGTAAGAGAAATTATAAATGAGGGCTCCCTTTGTCACATCATAGAATGCTATCTGCCCACACTCATAATCTACGAAAACTCCTACGTGGTGCATCTGCTCTCTTGAGTGGACCCCTTGAAGGGGAGGAAAGGCCCACAGGGTGTAGTCGGTTCCCATCACGCATCCCATGAGTAAGACTTTCTGTCCACAAGCATGGGCCATGTCACCATCTCTGCACACGCCCAACTGCCACTTGGCTGCCTTGTCCACATCCACCTCCCAGTAGTGCCTCCCTGAGGTGAAGCTCTGCGCAGCCAACACTGTGGCACTGAAGTCAAATCTCCCTGGGTTACCAGGCACAGCCTGCTGGACCTTTCTGAGTCTCACACTTCTCAGATCCTCGGCTAAGACCAGACAAGGATGAGCTGTGTTAGGATCCAGAGTGAGAGGTCCTGCAGGGAAAGAGAAATTTCATTAACCCAGGGGTCCGTCCACACCAGTGCTGGAGACGGCTGATTTCCGCAGATGCACCATGTGGGAGAGGCAGACTACAGGCGTCCAGTCCAGGAAGAGGAACCTTCTCGCTTGGTACCAGGAAATAGACATCACGGTGGAATGGAGTCAGTAAGACAATGGAAGGAGAGGCAAGGAACCGCAAATAATGGATGATGGACTGTGGAGAGGTTTAGAAGTACTTTTCCAACCTGAAAGGAGTTTGACCAGGCTGCAAGGCTGACCCAGTATCCAGTCCCAGCTACATGTCCTCTGGGACCCATTTCTGCTTCCTTCAAGTTGGTCTCCAAGCCTGGACCAGCCAGCGATTTGGAGCCTCCAAACAGGGCACCTGATTCCCGGCTCTCCCCTGGGACTGAGCTGCTCCCCTCACCGTCAGTGTCAGCACAGTGTGATGGAGATGCCTACAAATTGCTGCCAACAGGCCCTCGAAACTGAGCAAATCAAAACAAAACATATTACCAGAGGCTTCAAACCTGTGAGAATTCTCCAGAGAAATCAAGCTGAGACCAAGAAAGTTCAATAAGATTTCTTATATTGATTTCATATCTGACTGTCCTTTCCCTCTTCCCATTCACCCTTTAAATGTTGGGACTTCTTGGACTTGGTTCTGGGTCTTTCTTTTTATGACTTGTGCTCCTTCCCCACGTAACTTCACCTACCTTAGTTTTACATCTCTTCTGTGTTTGTGACTTACTCTTTAAACAAGCTGCCAAAGACCAGTTGGACGTAACAGGCATTTCCAACAGTCCATCCAAGATGGAACTTCTAACCTACCCCTTTCCAGTTTCTACTTTTCAGTCAACAGCTCACTGACTGCTTCAGTTGCTCAAGCTATAGACCTGGGGTAGTACTCTCTTACTTTAATACCTAATCCAGCAGCAACTTCTATTCCAAAATGAACTTAAATCTCTTGACTTAGGTCCAGTTTGCATCATTAAAATGGTCTAAAAATCACAAGCTTTGAATTTAAAATTTCAGGTTGTCCCAGGCTCTTTGCCTTTGTGTCTGCCAGTCCTCTGGGAATACAGATTCTCTGCAGGAGCATGCACCCCATCATTCTTGGCCTTAAGGAATTTCAAAAAATAATATCCAAAGGAAAAAGGGAAGCTTACTATTCAAAAGTCATTAAATGCCCACTTCCTGAAGAAGAAGAAAGCACTGCTGAGTGAGACTAGGAGGAATAAACCTGAAGAATTTTAGATACTGGAACTGCCAGGCATAGGCTCTAAAATAATTTTTGCTTACTCTGAAGGAGGAAAAAAAAGCTTAAAAGTACCTACAGGATATAAGAAAGAAAAAGGAAGACCAGGTGGAACTGACAAAGAACCAAACAGGTTATCCAGAAAAGAAAAGAAAATTGAGTAACGTGTTAATGGATGATTACAAGGAAAGAAAGATACAAATCAGTATGTCTTATTAACATAAATACAAAAAAAATCCTTAAAAAATATTAGTGCATTGAATCCAGCCGTACATAAAATGGGCAAACCATTACCAGGAGTTTATCCTGAAAATGAAAGGCTAGGTCAACACTATAAAAATACAAACTATATTAAAATAAATAACATGAAGGAAATAAACATGAGTATTTTGACAGAAACAGAAAAAAGCATCTAATAAATTCAACATCCATGAATGATAAAAAGTTTTGCAACCAGGAATAGATGTTTTCATCTTGATGAAAAGCAGCTATGAAAAACTGAAAACTAACTTCAAACTTAAAGGTACAGACTTAATTCATTCTTTCTTGAAAGCATTAAGAACACGGCCAATATTTTTCACCACTTCTATTCAACATATTGGAGGTGAAAGCCCGTACAAAAGGGTAAGAAAAATACAGAGAAGGCTTACATATTGGAAGGGAAGAAATACAACGGTCTCATTCACCGATTACTTGCTTATCTTTGTAGAAACTCCCAAAGATTCTGTCAGAAAGCCACTAATCTAATGAGTGAATTCAACAGTTATAAGATACAATGTCAACATATAAAAAAACCAATATCATTTCTATATATTAGCAATAAACAGGACATGATGAAATTTAAATTTCAAACTGATATTTAATACCATTAAATATAGCACTGAAAAAACCCCACTAATCAAAAATCCAGCAGGATTTTTGTAGACGCTAACAAATTGGTTTTCAAATTTATGCCAAAAAGCAAAATGACTTAGAGAGGCCAAAATTGTTTTTAGAAGAACAAATCTGGAGAACTCACATTGCCCAATTTTAAGAGTTCCTATAGAGTTCTCCAACAAGCCAGTGAGGTGTTAGCAAAAGGACTAGCGTAATGGTCAGTTGACCTATTTGAGTCGTTACAGACCTGCTCATATATGCAACTGATTTTCAACAAAGGTGCAAAGTAAATGTAATGGAGGACAGTATTTTCAACAAATGATGCTGGAACTATAGGATATATACATGTACAAAATAAGGGGAGGAGTTGCATCATATCTAGAATCATATACAAATATTAACTCCAAATGGCTAACAGACCTAAAGTAAAAATTAGAATTGTAAAACTTCTAGAGAAAATCTTTGTTGGGATAGACAAGATTTTTTACATAGGACAAAAAAAAAAAAAAAACAAAAAAAGAAAAAAAATTGATGAACTAAACTTAAAGATTTAAAACTTCTGTTCTTCCAAAGACACTATTATCCAATTGAAATTACAACTGACAGACTGGGTGAAAAAGTTCCAAACACATATCTGATTAAGGACTGGTAATCAGGATATATAAAGATCACAACACTCAGTAAGAATGTATACAGTTTTAAAACGGAGAAAATGTTGTTCGTAGATATACTTCAAAAAGAGAAATAGTAAGGTGTAAATAACACAAAAATTTGCTTAACATCATTAGTCATTTCAGAAATGCAAATTAAGTATCAAAGTCATATATTATGAGGATATAGAAAAAATTGAATTTCTCAGACATCAATGGTAGGAAAAATGGCACAGCCAGTTTGCAAAATGAGTCTGACAATCCCACTTCTAGATATTCAACCAAAACAAATGTAATCACATCCACACAGAATTCTCTAAACAAATATTTATAGCATCAAGTTAGAAACTCAAGTGTCCATGGAATTGCAAAGTGGTATATTTACACAATGGAATGCCACACAAAAATAAAAGGGATCAAACTTCCTACACATGCAACAGACTCAGATGTACCCCAAATGCGTGGTGCCAGGGGAAGGAAGCCAAACTCAAGGCTAATACTGTATGAATCCACCGGCAGGTCATTCTGGAAAAGGCAGCACTAAGGGTAAGAGATATGAATCCTTCATCATACATGCTGATGTATTTCCCTAGATGATGAAAACTCTAAAGTAGCAGAATATTCCTGCGATTATGTTTCAAGGTTAGGCAACTTATTTAATACCTTGGAGGGACAGACGTGGATCAACTTACTTTGGAGGCCTTTTAGCACTTCGCTCATTCCTGCTATTTGGCATGAACTCAGGTCTGTGATTTGGGCAGGCTCTAGACACTGAAGCAGCAGTGCCTCGCTCCTGCGGGAGAAAGGCAATACCAGGCATCAGTGCAGACCCGGCGCCCACCTGCCCCCTGCAGAGGAACCACGCCAGCACGGGAACCCCATCCTTACCCCAGCATCTCCACCCTGTGCTCGCGCAGCACACAAACTGACCCAAGGGATTCCACATCAAAACTCACCTTTCCAAAGAAGACCTTGCATTCTATGGGGATGGAAAAGAGAAAGTTACTGCATATTTGAGTCACGCCTTTTATAAGTCATGCTTTTGAAAACACCTTTCTTTTAGTGATGAAACTCAATTCCATGTAATTTTTCCAGCCTCATGGTGCTGATTCTGAGATACTAAATATTAACACTTGAATAGGACAAAGACAGAAAAATACTTGAAATCACTGTCATACTCCCAAGGGGAAATGTGTTCTCCATCCTCCTACTTTTTTTCTTAGTTTTATTACAGTCAGAGACTATATAGTTATTTTCCATGGAACTAACAACCTGCTAAACCAGATGATGTCATGACAAGACTGATATTTAAATCTGTATTATGCCTTTCTCTATTTTAATGAACAAATTTGATTCGTTAATATTGTATAAGGTATATACATTACCTTGACACCTTTATATATTGTACTATATTACCAAAGTAACAATGTTTACCATATTACATAATTAAAATACAATATTATCTATATTGCATATGCAGTACATTAGATGTCAATGGCTTATTTACTGCCCATTATAAATTTGTACCCTTAAACACCATGACTGCTATCCCACCGATCTCCTAGTAACTGCCATTGTACTACTTTTTAGCAAGTTTAGATTTTTAAACTAATATTTCATTATATAATATTATTGTCTATATTGCATATAGTGTACATTAGATCTCTACGGGTCACTTACTGATCATTACAAATCTGTACCCTTAAACTTGCTAAAAAGCAGTACAGTGGTGGGTAAGAGTATGGTGTTTAACTTTTAATAATGCCACATGTGATATCATACAGTACCTGACCTGCCTTCCTCTGACTTACCTCACTTAGAATAATGTGCTGCTCAAGGTGCACCCACGCTGTCACAATGGGAGGGTTTTTCCTTTCTCACGGATGAATACCATTCCACAGTGCATATTACTGTATCTTTTTTATCCTTTCATTGTTGATAGACATTTAGGTGTTTCCCTATCTTAGCTGTTGTGAATAATGCTGAGAGGCATGTGGGAGTGCATTTTCCTCCTCAAAATCCTGTTTTCCTTTCCAATGAGTATTCACTCAGAAGAGAAGTTGCTGGGTTATATGGTGGACCAACTATTCATTTGTTGAGGAACCTCCATATTGTCTTCAGTTTGGACCGATTGACATTCCCACCAAGAGTGTGGAGGGCTTGCCTGTCACCACATCCTCCCCAGAACCCACTGTCCTCTCTTCTTGATGGCAGCCATTCTGCAGGTGTGAGGGGCGACCGCTGTGGCTTTGACTTGTACTTCCCAAGGGAGGAGTTTTCCATACCTCACTTCTGCCACCTTACCCAGAACACATGCCATTTGGATCCAGCCTATCCATTTGCTTCCTGCACTGAGGGTGGTACGGGAGGTGAGCAGATGCAGGGGCCTGCAGAGTTGGGAAGGGGCTGGAGCCAGAGCAGCAGTGGGCTGCACCTCCCCTCACAGTCTGAACACAGCCTGGCTCTGGACCAGAACTTGAGGGATTATATGCAGGGGCTGCTCAAATACGACACTCACACTGCAGATAAGGGCCTGGCAGAGGGATTCGGCCAAAAGTCTTAAAGAGATAATCATTTGCCTGTTGTAAAGGCAGTGCATGGTACTGTACAAAATGTAAGATATACAGGACCATACAGATACACCTCACCCTTGTTTCCCAAGAATACTGCTCAGTGCTTGTGTTCACTTAGCCAGTGAGCATGCCTGTCTGTGCACATACACACTCAGACCACACGCACACCTGCCCTGCGTGTATTCACTTAATGACGTGTCTGGAAGATAATCTTTTAGCATCATGGAGCTGCTGTATGTATGTGCACAGTATGTGATTGTACGGATGATATCAATTTGCCTAGCCAGTTACTGGTTTTCAGGTGAGAATTCCTATCCATACCATGATTTTCTGACAGTTCATATTGCTTTCAGAGACTGGAAAATAACCACATAGCCTCGTGTATATTTGAAAACCACTGAAGGTTGTATTCTAGGACTCACCCCTGGTATGTCCTGTCACGTCTCATTTCTCAAATGCTGTCATGAACGAGAAGGCTATTCCTAGAATCTTACCTCGAGGAGTGTGGACGGGTGTTGCCCACACTTCTTCTCTAGCTCTGCAATGGTCTTGTGGAGGCTGCAGACCTGATCAGCAAGTCTGACTTCACTCTCCTTCAGTTTATTCATGTTCTCTCTCGCCAAATCTTTCAGTTTCTGCGGGGACATCTCCTTATTAGTATGGAACAGCTGGGGATTTCTCTCATTTGCTAATTCAACCATCTCTCTAAAGGCGCACTTTCCTGCCTGCCACCCCAGAAATAGACGTAATTAGTTAAGGCGGGAATATCCTGTGTCATCCAGGACACCTCAACAGAAACTTGGTACTTTGACACAATATGTTGAGGCTGACATGAATGCTATTCATGTAGTCTGCTTACTCAGAAACAACCTGGACCAAAAACACATTTACTGATGTGCAGTTTTATTGAGAAACTTTGCTATTTCCTTCATTATAAAAACACTTATTTCTAATTTAAAAGTTAATATTAGTAAGAATTAAATAATCAAGCCAATGATATCTGTTTCCTTTTTTGCCTTTGCAAAGATGCTCTACCTGGGCACATAAGCACATGTCCATGTTTTCTCAAAGAACACAATTTGTGGCATATTATACTCTTGCTGATCTGACAATTTGCGTTTTTCTTAATACGCTCTTCAAGAACATTCCTTACCCATACACACTGAGCCATGTTAATCTTTTCTAAATGCTGAAGAGCCTTCCATTGAATGTACATAATACAGTTTTGTGAGTCCCATGTTGATGGATGTAAGCTGTATATGGTCTCTTGCTATCTGTAAATGTTATAATAGTTATAATACCTAACACATACCAAGTGCAATGTTATGTACAAACACTACTTAAAGGCTTCTTGTAGGTGACCATACCCAATCCTCACAACAATATTATGAGCCATGGACCATTATTATCCCCATTTTACAGCTAAGAAAACTGAGTCGGAATTAAAACAATAGGTGTGAGGCCACCTAGCGGCTGGTAAAGAGCAGCGCCCAGGCAGGACCTTCATCAGTCTGGCTCCAAAGACCACCTACCTCTAACCCAAGATTAATCATCAGATTGAATTGCTAGGCAACTAGACACATTACTGTAATACTTCTGTGGTTGTCACTGGATGGCCTATTTTGCAAGTGACATACGACTCAGCTCTATTTTCTCTCATTTCCCAAATACGTGAGGATGCGGTTTTTGGCATCTCACCTGGAGCGTTTCCTGGGCCTTCTCCTTTAGCTCTGCGGCACACGTGCTCAGCTGACTCAGGCTGGCTTCTCTCGGGGTCAGGTTGGACACGGCCCCTGGCAGGCTCCAGAACTTCATCTCATCTTCAATCATCAACCGGAACCTTATCCTATATTCAGACTCAATCATCTCTCTAAAATTCTGCTCTTCCTCCTTCATCATGGATACAGATAATGGTAGACTTCAGGTTGGGCTCCACAGATAGATGTGGAAAGTGACAGTATTTATCTAACTTCAATATAAAGACAAAGTATAAGGGAAGGAATGAAAGGCATAAATAAAAAGTACAAGGGGAATTTTGGAGTCAAGATCAACCAAGACTTTAACACCATCTCAGAACACAGAATGTAGGTGAAGGAATGTTAATTGATTTAGAAAATCAATCTGTAACCTTAGTGACCGAACAGAAGGAGACCAGAAACACCGGAAGGTTGTGCCAGTGGCTCCTGCTGATGCTTGGGAGGGTATGTGAGAAAAGGGGACTCAGCATGACTGCAAGGTTTTTAGACATTGCAGCTGGTGGTTAGAGTTGCCAAAAAAAAGGGAAACTGTGGCAGGGAGAGGATCCAGAGGTGGGGAGTCTGTCAGCAGCTCAGGTTTGGAGGTGATGCTCAGGAGGAAGTTGGACGTGAATGCCTAGCACTTGAAGTCTGAGATACACATTGGGAGTAGTCAGCTTACTGATGGTATTTATCTCAGGAGACCATGATCTCATCATCTATCATGACCTGACCACCTCTCACCACCTCTACCACGGCCCCCTGCTCCACTTTACCATCTGCTGCTTCTGATTATTGCAACAGCACCCCCCTTCCAGGCCTCCCACCTCTGCTGTCACCCTCCCACCCTCTGTTCTCCCTTCACCAGCTCAAGTATTTCTCTGAAAATGGACATGAGCTCGTGTCACTCCCTCTGTTCAAAACGTCCCAGTGGTTTCCTTATTTCCTTGAAAGTCAACTGCCGTATGTGATTTGGCCCCTTCATCTTCAACATCATCATCCTCGACCGTCTCTACTTCCTTCCCAATGCTAACCAAGTCTACAGCAGCCTTGGGACCTGGGCGCTTGCCCTCCCCTCTGCCTAGACTTCTCTCCCCTGGACCGCAGAGCTCAACTCCTCACTACCTTGACCATTCTGAACACCTGATTACTTTTTTCAAAAGTATATTTCATGACTCTTTCAAGCTTTTAGAAAAATCTGGATTGCTGTTACCATGTAAGACAATATATGCTTTATTTTTATTCATAATTTTTTAAACTTCCATTAGAATGTCAGGTTCACAAGGGCAGATATTTTTTCCCTACCGCTGAAGCATCGGTGCCTGGCACAGATTCTGGCAAACAGGGAGACCCCAATATTTGTTAAATATGTGGTACTTGGGGCTGAAAAAAATGGAGATCTATTGAAAATTTCTTATAGAGACAGGCAACTCTCCTCCCTGACTTCCTCAACTAGACATTTACTATCTTGAAAAATTAAAGAGAAGATTCAGAATCTGGGATTCCTGGCACAGAATGGACTTAAATTTGAAGAGAGGTTTGAAATCCAAATGGAAACATGTGCATAATGATGACAGAGCCCTCATTTTGGATAGTAATATACTGAAATTGCTCTTTAAATGGCTTCAGGATTTATATGGCCACTGCAAGTACGTAAGATATGCACACTCCTATGGCACTGTCATAAACTGTTACCAACCTATTTTGTCTTTTTCAATACGGGTTGCATATTCGATTTCACTAACAAATTTAAGGCAGTTAATCTGTCACTCTTACCATGAGCAGTGAGCAAAGTTCGAATCCTCTTGTACTTTCAGAAGGTATTTGTATTTTCGTTACTGTGACCTGCAATTTCTTTGCTCATTTTTCTACTGAGTCTTTTGCTTATTGGCTTTTAAGAGTTCTTTTACATTAAGAATTAACACGTTTCTTATCTATGGATTTCAAGTATTTTTTTCTGCTTTGTCATTTGTCTTTTGACTGTTCATATTTTTTACTTTCCAACATTATAGGGAATTTGCCTCTTAAGAATCAAGATAAGCACTGACCTGAATCATCACCATTCTTTCCTGCTCATCGGCCAATATGCTTTTAGCCACTTCAAGTTTCCTCTTCAGGGTGTTGGCGATCTTCTGGAATAACTTCTTCAGGGAAAAAGATCACAGAATTGCACGTGAAGGAGTCACTTTAGACACCGGGATCCCTAACATTAGACAATGGAAAGGCCTATATCCCTGACTAGGGGTTTACTTAACCTTGACGTTGAAGGTTTAGTGTTCTTTGAAGAAGTAGGGATGGGCTTGGGGCATCGCAGTATCTGTCCCCCAGTAGGTAAGTTAATAAGGAAGAGGAGACAGCCAGAGTGCTCTGGGGTCCGCGGGACGCTCACCCGGCCGCGCTCGGCGGCCTCCTGCAGCCCGTGCACCATGTGGTGCCTGTGCTCCCGGCTCTGGGAGCACCGCCCGCCGAGCAGGACGTGGTCATCTTCACAGAACAACCACGGGGATGCGGGGTGCTGCCCCCGGCAGCCCTCCCCTGGGGCTCTCTGCTGCACCGGGGGGCTGAGCCCGGGGGGCATCTCGGCAGACGCTGCTCTCTGAGCTGGACAGGAGCGGCGGGGTCCCGGGGTGGACATCCGAGCAGGTCAGCGCACCGCACCGGCGGCCACGTGCGGAGAAGGTCACGCCAGAAGTCACAGGATCAGAAGGCCTCTCACGAGTCTGGAGAGTTGGGAACAAATGGCTGACAATGAGTTAGAAGGGAGAACACAGCACCCCACTTCCCACACAGTTAAGGAGGCACCCCCTCTCTCAGTGCGGGCGGGGCCGCGAGGTGAGGGCCTCACTCTGCCCCTGCAAGCAAGGGCCTCGGGTCCTGGCCCAGCAGGCCTCCCTCCCAGGCCCCTAGGCGCCCGTGCCCCCGAGGGAGGCCTCTCGGTTCTGTGCCCAGACTCAACAGGCCTCCTCTGGGAACTGGACAATAAAGGATATTGGCTGAAAACAGTAATACGATTCCACGAAGCATTAGAAACTTTGCAAAAATAGCACCTAATTAGCTCTGAACAATTCTACGTTTTTTCTAGAAACAGTTTAGTTACATTCTTAAAAGGCATTACGTACAGAATTTGGAAAACTTCCCAATAAAGAAGGACCCTGACTGACTTCGTTTCCTTTCTAACCTTATCTTCAGCCTTTGATCAGTGATATCCTAACACCAGGTTATTAATTCCTCAAAATCCTGTCTTCTATTTACACTTGTCCCCACTCTACCTCTGACCAGCAGCTCTCTTGACAGTATCTCTTGTCAAGAATCCGCCTCACCGACCGGTCATCTGGGCTTTCCGCACCCCTCAGGCTCTCACGCCCACCCACACTCTGCCGTCAACTGGACGTCCTCTCCTTCCATCCCTAGGTGCTAGTCTTAAGACAGGCAAAGCACGGTTACACTTCTGAAGGTGATGAATCTTGCAGGTAGGGGCTTTGTTTTTGCAGGCTACATACTTAAGGACTAGTGTTGAAAGTGTGGTTTCTGACACGTGACTGGCCTTTTTCACTGTGTTGAGATTTGCACTAATACTAAATAAAACCTGGGGTCGTACTATTAATGGGGGAAGGAACACCAAAGAGGACTGTAGTCATTTATTGTATACCTTTACATTTCTACATACTTGCCTCCTCCCAGTTTAGGTCCTCTTTTACTTAAAAGTGTGTTCTTACTCCTAGATGAAGTAAAATAATAAGTCTCAACCTGTGAGTGTAGGGTTTCATATTCTGGGTGACAAAATGGAAAGTATGCATAAAGCACTTATGCTGTGTATGGAAATAGTGTTTGTCTGAAGAAAAATACTTTCTATGGCTCTTTAAGTGACAGGCCACACTTGTCGCATTTTTCCATAGAATATGGAGCATTTTTCCATAGAATATCTTTTTCTTGAAAGAACAAATGAGACAAATTGGTTATTCAGATGTAGTAATTTGGAAGACATTGACTGGCCCTGCCATTTTAAGGAAACAAAGGAGAAAAAAGTATGGATTTTAATGTATCAGAGTACAAAAATGTTCACTGATATTTCTGGTAAAAAGTCACAATTATCTGAAAAGCTATTGGAATGCTCTTTCCCTTTCCAACCATGTAATTGCATGAGGGCAGATTTTCTTCATATACTTCAACTCAAATGACATTTCACTAGATGGAATGCTGCAGCCGATTGAACAGCTATCTTCTGATAAACCAGAAACCAGATCTGCAAAACTGTAAAACAATGCCACTCTTCTCAGTAATGGTTTAGGGAAGGTTCTAAAGGGTTATGTGTACTTTATTAAATTAAGTATCTTTTAAAAAGTTTTAATTTCTAACACAATAACTATAGATATGACACACAAAGAAAGCTTATTTCAGGTCCCCATCAGTAACTTGAGTACGAAGGAGTCCTGAGACTAAAGTTCAGAGCTGTGGTCTTGGAGGAAATAGTCTCTAGAAATGGGATTCCTGGGTAATGTGCCTATAATTCTGGTACATTTTATGAGATTACCAACCACAAGGGCTGTACAATTTTATATTCCAGGCAACATTGAAAAAGCTATCAAACACTTTGCCCACTTGGTAGGTGAGAAATGGTATCTTTACATAGTTTCAGCTTGTATTTATTTTACTATGAATGAAGTTTCTTTTTATATGCTTAAGAGCCATTTTTCATTCCTTTTTCTGTGAAACCTATGTTTAAGCTCTTCACCTGTTTTCTTCTACTATATTTTTGGCCTTTTCCCCTTTATTTTAAGTGATAACATATTGAGAAAGATTATCCCCTTGTTATTACAGAAATCGTAAATACTTTCTCTTGTCATTTGGCTTTGAATTTGCTCCAATTCTTTTATTTTTTTACACCTGGTTTCTTAAACCCTCTTGAAGCTTCCCTTGTCTTGCCTCCCTAAATGTATCCCGAACTACTCCGGCTGCAAGAACAGTCACTGAAATGTTCAGTTCACAACTCAGTGGCTGCTTATGGCTTTATCTTACTAGAGCTTCAACAGCAGTTAACAGTCGACCAGGCTCCTTTTAGATTGTTCTCCTTGCTACCAAGATTGGGTATCTGAGATATCTCCTGTTTTATTGGTCTGTTTCTCAGCATCTTGTTTTGACTTCTCTTGAACCTCTGTTTTGGGGTGCCTGAAGGATCAGTTCTAGTCCCTTATTCAAGTTCCACAGTGTCACCCTAGGTAATCATACTTATTTCCAAAAATTTAAGTACTGCTTTCCAATTTCAATCTCTACCTAGACCTAGAATTTCTAACCCATTTGCAATGAAATGCTTCATAAGCACACCCCAAATCACTTCGGGAAAGATAGAGGTTAAAAAACTGATTCACTGAGAAGCAGTTCATCCCACCTTCGTTTCATCACTGCAACTGGATTACATCCAGCCCTGCCCCTTCCAAGCCCCAACTCCGCTCAGCTCAGCAACCAGAATATTACTTTAAAACCTAAATTAGGTTTCTTGTAACTATTCATGGCACATCGGATAAAATGCAAATAGCTACCTGAGTTCTAAATGGCCTGCCCCTCACCCCCATGTCCTATAGCTTTCCCCAGCCATTGTCAGTTCCCATTAGGACAAACTCATAGGTGCCCGCTCTGCCTTGTCAGCTGCAAATGCTTTTCTCTGTTTTTGAAATTCTAGGTCTACCTACCCTTCAGTTCTCAAAACAAAGGTCACTTCTCCAGAGAGGCTCTATTATTAACTAAGCAATTCGAAGGGCCTTCCCACCACTCATATTGTCTTGTTGTCCTTGTATTCAAATGACTGATGTAGGAACAGATTTACCAGTTGGTCACTCTTCATTCCCAAGAAACTAAGTTCTTAGATGCCTTCTGTCTACACTTGACATACTGGATGCTCCATAAATATTTTCTAGTAATATATTAAACCAAAGCAGTGCACAGTTAAGGAAAAATCAGGAGGACAGAGAATAGAGATTAAATACTTTATCGATAACAAGAGGAAGCCAGATTGGAGAATAATTTGTCTCCCTCGTGTAACGTTTGTGTGCTAAACTGTCACCTACCCGTTTCTTCTATTTTTTTTCTCTGCCCTAGCTTTCTTTCTTATCCTTTTATACTGTTGCATTAAATATACATATAAGCTCCATAAATAAATATATCTATTCAAGCTCCAGAAATACTAACATCAAGTTTAGGTATTTAAAGAGAACTATGATTAAGGGGAAATGCTCACCTTTTTTTATAATCCTCGAGGAAAAAGAGCAGGCACAGGGGAGACAGAAGGCTTTTATCTGTGCAGCTGCTCCTTCAGTCCCTCCCTTGTCATCATCAGGTAGAAAGCCTGTAAATTTCAAATCTTATCCATATAATTAATCTAGGACAGCGGTTATCAAACTTCAGTGAGCAGTACAATTATCTGACTTTATTACATCAGATTTCTGAATCCCACCAGTCTCCAGTTTGATGGATCTGGGGTGGAGTCTTCATTTACATTTTAATGAGCTTCTCAAAGTACTAAATAGCCAGTGACCTTGGTCTGGAGCTTTGATCTCTGTGGATGGGGAAATGGGGAAATTGTGTTTTTTGTTGCATCTCCAAGATGTTAGGGTGGATACTGCATAGTAGCCCATTAACAAGTCTTTTCTTTTTTTAAAGGAACCTCCTGTCCATATTAACAACTTCACAGGAATGCCTTCCTTCTATAAGCCATTACCCAAGAATCTCATGTGTTTTCCCCTTAACCTTACCATTGTCTTTAGCCATTAAATATATTCTCACTAGAGAATGCCTAATTTCACTGTTAGTTTCCAGCATGTTTGCTGAAGGAAGTGATCGTTCCATTATTTGTAGATAGAAAATCAAGAGTTGGAATAACTGCTGAGGGAGGAGTTGTGTCACAGACGGGAGGTCAGGGGACAACCCCCAGTAGTTCTGAAAATCTGCACAGCTTTCCAAGTTTTATAGTTCTGTCTCTGGAAGGTTTTTTTTGCATCAATCAATTCCCTGGAAGTCAAACTACCATGATTATTATTTTTTCTCTAAACTGCTAACAGAATAAAAGGAACATTCCCAGCTCTGATCTTCCAAAACAGGGCTCCAACCTGTGGAATCTGGAGGACTTCTTAGCCCTTTGTCTCAGACAACCTTGCACAACCACTCCCTCTTCTAAATCTGAGTTGCTCAGCTCTTTCAGAGACCACTTTCAGATCTGTGCGCCCCTCCCCTCCTTAGCTGGGCAAGCTTCCTTTTCTACCCAATCCTCTTTTCTCTTCTAAGCCTTGGTGCAGCCAGCTTCTGTAAAGATTTTATCCTCTTACTGCCATATTTATTCCCACCACCCAAAGCTTTTATAATTCATGATTTCATTTTGACAGAAAACCTTCATCATCTTTAAATCAAGTGGTAAGATATCAAGCACAAGTCTCATGGCTTGGGGGTCCCTTA